AGCCTGATTCTAGTCTGGGGTTTTCTGATGCCACTGTATGAAGGGTCTTCAGATGTTTTGAATAGGGGGCTGGGAGAGGTGACGGAAGGAGACTGGGGGTGGGCTTGGGCCCTTCACTCCTTTTTAGCACCTTCCATCCATCCATGTGATCCTGTCGTTGGAAACAAAACAAAAAATGCTCTGAGGAGCCCCTTGCAGAAACCATGCTTGGCCTTTCCCATTTTGCATAAGTGATATTAGTTTTCACTAATAAAGCCATTTAAAATTCTTACATAGGATGTGCTGTTTGATTTGTGCGACAGATAATCCCTGATGAACTAACTCTTTGCATTAAAGTTAGAGATAATAAAAGAATACTTGTGTTGCTGGTACAGTTGGCTTAGGTGTGTTTTCTCCAACAGCCAAGGGGTGGGGTTGGGGGTGGGGGTGGCATCCTCACAGGCCCTATGTGAGTCTGGCCTGGCCTAGGGGCTTAAGAAAAAGAATTTCAGCAAAAGTGGGGGTGGGGGGCACTGTGACTACCCCTAAGTTTAAAACAAACAACTGACATAAACATGTTAAAGGTGACCAGTTCCAAACTGATCACTGACATTATTCAAAGGCTTGTTTTATTTGGGAATTTTTTCCCCACAATTTCTTTTAAATAGGCAGCTATCTATGTGGTAGCTTTTTATTTTCTGTTTTTAACGCATCTTTAATACTTGGTGAGGAGGCTGGAGTTCAGGCAGAGGGAAACTTAACATGTTAGGAGCTTTGCCCTTTGAGGATCTGTCAGAAACAGAGAAAAAGCATCCCAGAAATTCTAATCAGTGAGGAGAACAGGATCCAGCCATCCCCAGCTCTCCAGCTACACCAGGTTCATAGGCTGAGGGCTGCCTTTGCACACACAGCCCTCGGTTTCTGAGACGAGGGAGACATGGGTAGCTAGGCCAACTTGCTTACAGGCCTGCCCGCTCCTGCTGTGGACACCCTGGGCCTTGGCCGTGGAAGCTCTTCTGAGGACGGGCAGGAGGCCCTGGGGCGCCGTGGCTGAGGCTTTGACAGAGCGAAGAGCGTAACACCCACTTGCTGCATCGACGCCTGGGCCTGGTCTGCTGTGAGGTGGGCTGGGCCACATACCTGCCCAGGGGCCAAGCTGGGGCTGGATCCTGGGCCATGTGGTTCCACAGCCAGTCTTTCTCTTGACCTTGTCACTCCCTGATACTGGTCATCCCTTGATCACTTTGAAAGGAAAAGAACCACACTTTCTGCATTCACATGCCTGTCCTTGTCAGGCATTTTCTCAGTAAAACTTACAGCTCTTCTGGCCTCATTGGAAGTTCTGGGTTCCAGGCCCATGGCTAGCTGCCAGCCCAGCCAGCTTGCCATTACCTGGGATGTGGGGCTCAGGTTTCCAGTGGGAGAGTAGTTCTAGATAGTTTTGAGGGGACACCCTCCTCTGCCCATCCCCTGGAGAGTACTGGCTGTGCTGGGTGGTGTTTTCTGTGACTGTCTGCTGCCCCCACCTCCTTTCCCCCTTCCCCCATCCTCCTCCTCCCCCCCTCCTCCTCCCCCTCCTCCTTCCCAAGTCAGCGTTATTTTAGTAGTCTTCCTCCTGCTCCCCTTCTCTCTCTCCTCCCCATCCTCCTCTTCTCCTCCTCCCCCTCATCCTCCTTCCCACGTCATCGTCTTCTTAGTTCTCCTCCTCCCTCTCCCTCTCTCTCCCCCTCCTCTGTACACACTGAGACTGGCCAGTGGGCAGCACGTTGTGCACAGAAGAAGCTGTTGTTTTGACAGAGGACATGCTCGCCTCACTTTTTTAATCACCCGAATCCAGAGGCCGTCTATTCCAGGCCTCTGCCCTCTGTAGGTGGACATGAAGGCAGTGGACACAGAGGTTCATGTGTTATACAGTTGTGTGTTGGACACATGTAAAGCATATTTCTATAACTACATGTGTATGTACTTTTCACATTAACAGGACTTTTTAAATTAATATATATGGCAGTTTTTCCAACTATATAATACATGCACCTGGCAAGTAGTCCAAAGATACTACTGCGGAGTAAGTCCCCCTCCTCCCTGGTGCCTCCTGAGAGCCAATCACATTACAGATTTCTTCTGTATCTTTCTAGAGATCATCAAAGCCTGTGTGAGCATATGTATAGACATTCTTTAAACCGTGCTGGCATTGTTTTGAACTTTGCTTTTTCTGCTTTAGTATAGCCTGATACTCATCCTGTCCCATACAGTCTGGGTAGGACTGTATGTTTTTTTAACCATTGCTGAATAATCCGTGAGTGGCTATGCCAGTACGCCACAAGTGGACATTTAGGTTGGAGACTTTTTGATGCCTTTCAGATATGGGGACTCTCCCATGCTCCTTTTTACATGTGACTCATGACTCACGGGCTGAGGGTTCTGTATTGTAGGCCCCCACCTCCACCTCCCCTAAACACATTAAATTCTCTTGTTAATGTGTCATTATATTTGACACTTTGAATATAGGCAGGCTTGGTAGATAATAAAACAGTATTTGGTTTATGTTTAATAGCTATCTCCTCCCTTAGCATTGTCTCCACTGCCTGAGAATGCCTTCGTGTCCTTCAAAAGGATTTGGCAGTGGTTTTTCTTTTCTTTTTCTTTTACAAAGGACTTGGTCAAAGATTGTGAGCCTTAAATCTGACCAACCCAATCTGGGGCGGTGGAAGTGTAGTCTCTCCTCCTCGCTGTGCCAATCTGTTTCTGTGGTGGTGGGTGGTGGCACGGTGTTAAATTTGGAGACCCCTGTAGGTTTCTCATGCCGACCTGCATATGTCTGCAAGCTTGGGTAAGGGAGAGCGGTGGCCCCCTGTAGAGCCTTCGACTGCCAGCAGCAAGTTGCCTCAGGGGTGCTGGCCCTGCAGCCCTGCAAGTAAGGTGGGTTTGCTTCCACGAAGCCACCTGTTTCAGCTCAGCCCTCTTCAGTCAGGCTTCTTGACCCCTCTGCCTGGGATGAGACCTCAGAGTGGAGTGGCAGGCCCCAGGTGGACATGCTCTTTTGGTGTCATTTCCCCCAGTCTCCCCACTAGATGGGAAGGCAGAGGTTAGGACTGAGACCCTACTGTCACCTTTGTACCCAAGCATCCAGCGTCAGCTAGCTCGAAGAAGTCAGCAGATGCCCACTGACTGGGGGACCCCAACTCAGGCTTCCATTCAGTGGAGGAAGGAGGGACCCGATTGAAAGCAGTTTGTGCTCTTTTTGTTTTTCTGTAAGTTTTCTGTCTGTGTGTGATTGGAATAAAACATCCATTTTTTCTTTTTTGTCAAATTTCAATATTGGCTTTTCTCCCCCCTCCTTGAAGTCTTCTTTTATAACTTCTGCTGCTGCTGCTTAAATATAGATGTCTAAGTCCTCCTCCTTACCAGATTGTTTATATTTTTGAAAAGCCTTCTGCTTATCTGTGACTGCTCTCTCTTCTCCAGCTCTCTCCCTGCTTTGCCACATTGGTTTCGGCTGCTCTTTTCTCCCTGCCTTCACTTCACTGGGATGTGTTTCAAATGTGGTCTATCAAAATGTTCAGTGTTTCCCTCTTTTCTGCAATAGCTTTGACATCTGTTCTTGAATTCTAGCCCACGTTATTCTTTTGGACTTGTTTGCCCAAGATTTGCTTTAATGCCAGAAATACTGAAGCGGGGAGAGTGTGGTGTGGTGGTATCTCTCCCATCCCCAACTGTCTATGATTTCGAGGCACGCTGGATGTTTGTTCCAGCACACTGTCTTCTTGGCTGGCAGTGGCCCACCCCATAGTGGTACCAGTGAAGCATTACTGGGAGGGCTTACAGGCTTGTTGGGTTATTTCCACCAAAAAGGAAAGCGGGTGGAGCTTTATGAGGTGGGTGGAGAAAGACTCTAATGTGCTTCCTGGGTGTCTATGGATGGGTTTTCATCTTTGATTTTCCTTACCTTCCAGCCCTTGATTTGCTAGGTCCCTGCTCTGCTCAGTTGCAGGCTGGTGGTCCCTACCATTGGGAAACCACTAGGAGCAGCCACCTTGACTCTGAAGCAGAACGTGCCACTATGGTGTCTTTAGTAACTGAGGCAGCTCAACAAGAAAATGGGCCTTTCTTTCAATGGCTATAGCAGCGTGTCCTGTGCTCCTGCTGTCAATCTGAGCCCCATTCTGGGCCCATCTGCTGCGGGCTTGTTTGAAACAGATCCTCGTGGCAGCCCCTCCCCGGGTTTCTGAGCCCGGGGCTCTGATTCTCTGATGCTTTGAGAACAGCGCCCACAGCCCTCGGCCCCTGGCAGATCCCTGTATGAGAACCCACTCCTGTGTTCCTCACAGTTCCCATGCAAGTAAAAGCGTTTGAGAACAACTACAATTTTCAGGTGCCTGATTTCCAAAAATTTTACAAGATATTGGAAATAATTATTCTTGGAATTTGCCTTTTAAAGGTCCCTCTTGAAAACTAATAATAGGTTAATGGTCCCCCGAGCATGATGCTTGGCCTAAAGTAAGCTCACAAGAAATATTTGCTCAGTGAAAGCACATCATGTATCACTACAAAAGATCCCAGGCCTACGCTGTTGGAGGACAGCCAGACAGAATGCCCTACTGAAAAGCGCAGAGTTAAGCAGAAGGACTGGAGCACAGGACAATGGCTACAAGAGACACTTGTGGAGAACAAACCCTGAGCAACTCCAGGGAAGGTGTCCTTTGTGCATCGGCTTGCCTCTGGTTTTACCCGAAAAAGGTTTCTGCATGTTCTGTTACAGGAGCGGTCATCTGTGCAGTGCACTTTCGTACACAATGCATCCAGCTGAGCAGGCTTGGTTTTCTCCAACCAGGGCACGTGGGCTGGATGGATTGTGTCCTTTCCTTTTCTGCCATCCTCCAGCCCTTCCTCCTCGGAGGAGTTGATAATCCCTGGAGCCACCGTGGGGTCTCCCTGCAGTGTTCTGGTCAAATGCAAATATGGTCTTTTCTGGTACAAAGTGCAATTACAATCTTGTTTTTCCTTTTTGTTTCTTTCAACAGAGAGAACTCGATGCCACCGCAACAGTATTGGCAAACCGGCAAGATGAAAGCGAGCAGTCCAGAAAGCGGCTTATCGAGCAGAGCCGAGAGTTCAAGAAGAACACTCCAGAGGTGAGGTGGGGTTGCCATCAAGATCTCTTTGAAGGGGTCTTATTATTCTAGTACATACACAGACAATGTGTCGTAAGCATTTCATTTTTCATCAAATGCATGGCCAGTAAGCTCCTTCTTTCTTCCGTTGTCCTCTGCTTCTTTTCAGCAGACTGTGTGCCACTGAATGGGCAGTGGGGAGGAGACAATTGATAGGTGGTCTGGAAATATTAAAGCACAAGCTAATTCCATATGCATCTATTACACAAGCTGGGCATGTGAGACTTTGTGGTCCAGTGTGCGAGACGTCAGGCCTTGGAGCCCATCCCAGCCTCTGGCTCCACGTGGGTTAGCACCCACCTGCGTCCACAAAGGGAGCAGTGAGCAGAGGGACACGGTGAGGCAGAGGTGCATCAGGCCCCCTCCCCAGTGCCAGGCCAGCAGAGTGTCTGAAGCCTGCGCACATCTGAGGGTAGCAGCATGCCAGTACTTCCTGTAAAACAGACAGTCTGCCAGGGCCTTTTTTTTTTTTTTTTTTTTTTTTTTTTTTTTTTTTTTTTT